CTCCCCACCCCACCTACCCCATGGACTCCCTCTCTCTGCAAAGGATCAGGAGGAGATATCTTCTCATATCTCTTCTTTGGGACCAAGCTTGTAATTCTACAACATTCAACTTCGATTGTTTTGTGTCAACAAACATTTTTAAGCACCTACTCTTTCCCAGTCATTGTACTATGTACCGGGGATACAAAGACAAATTGACGTGATCCTTGCTCTCAAGGAGTTAACATTTAATCACATCCCAAACTATACCTTTATCTCCAATTTCTCTCTCCTGAATTCCAGTCCCACATCACCAACTGTGTATTGGACATTTCAAACTCTAAGTAATACAGATATCATCAGCCTAACATGTCCAACAAAGAAGTCATTATATTCCTTCCTTCACCAATCCACCCCTCTTCCCAGTGTCCTTTGCTTCTCTTAAGGATATGGCCATTTTCCCACGTACTCAAGTTTACGGTGTCATTGTTATCTTTGACCTCTCATTCTCCCTCACCCAACATGTGTCACTATATCCAGTAAGCTGCTGAACTTTTTCTGCTTCCACATCTCTTGCAATCATCTTCTTCTCGCTAATCAAACAAGCACCACCCTTGTTCATACACTCTTTCTCTCTTGCAGGAAAATACAATAAGCGGAATTTCTACCAGAAATTGGTCTCCCTGCCTTACCTCTCCCCTTCCAATATATCCTTCACACAGCTGTCAAAGAGATCTTTCTTAGATTCAGGTTTGACTGTCACTGCCCTCCTCAATCAAACCCAGTGGTTCCTTATTATTGCCTTTAGGAGAAAAACAAAGTTCTCTGTTTTGCTTGTAGAACCTTTCACAAGCTGACCAAAACTTACTTTCTGGATTTACCAGACATCACTTCCCGACCCACAGTCTTGGACTCAAACTGGCCTTTCTCGTCCTCACACATGACACGAATGCCTTTGCAAGTGGCTGTCCTCTATGCTTTGCACTCCTTAGTCTCCCCTAAAGAATGCTATTATTGGAGAAGGGTATTGTTGGGGGTGGGGAAGAGGCTGGAGGACTAGGGAACAATGAAGAGACCAAATTGCTCCTTTTGGTACAGCATACCAGGTTCCACTAATTGCATTAGAATCCCTCACTTGCTTCAAGGCTCAGCTCAAGCATCACCTTTTACGTGAAACCTTCTCTGAAAACACCAACTGAAAAGATTCTGTCCTTCCTCAAACTTTCCTGTCCTATGTCATCTGGAACATTCCTTTTCCCATTTTATTATTATCTTGCACACAATAGGTATTTAATAAATGTTTGAGTAGTTTCTGGTGCTTATCATGGTTAGAGAGATTGAGTTGAGCATTAGAAGGTAAAGATTGAAGGCAGAGATTCTAATACACTGTTCTAGAATGCCAACGTCAAATGTAATAGGGATCTGAATGAGAGGTACATGGCTAAGGGCAAATTACAGGATATGACTCTGTGTCAGAGAACAGACAATTCCATGCTTTTCCATTTCAGTGCCATAACCTTCAGTTGGTTGTTATGAAAACTGCTTAGCCCGCTTTAATGGAATAGTCTGATAAAGTACAAAAGGATCTTGACATTTCACAAATGGAAAACTCAGTTTGAAAGTCTGTTAACTATATTAGATTGTGTTAATTTCCTTTAAGAAAACTGGAAAGTCTTAGTTGACTTGCATTTTTAATTTTCTTCTAAATTCTGGAGAAATTAAAAAAATTTCACTTGTTCATTACCTTAACATTGATCTTTTATGATGTAATACTTACAAAAGGCTGGTGGATCTTTGAACACAACAGAAAGTTATGGTCACTAAGACTCTGGTCAAAAGATCTCTTAGACACAGTAATATTGACAAAATGAGAGAAAAGAATGGTATTGATGGAGGGTGTTGGTGGTTGGGCACAGTCTGGGGACTAAAGGAAAATGAAGCAAGCAAACTGCTCCTTTGGACAGAGCAGATGGGTTTCACTGGTGAGGGGTTGGAGGTTTTATGCGTTTTTCTTTAAATCAAGGACTATAGCTCTACAGAAGTCAGACACATATTAAAATAACTTGCAGGTGGCTGTTATTCCATTGGTCTGGATATTTTTCCTTTTGAGCTGCCTGCTTTCCTGTGGGTTTGTTCAACCCCCATGATTCAAGACAAGTTTTCCATCTTTTATGAAAACTCTCTCTAAACACCAATGGCCATTCTGTAGTTAGCATCTCAAAGATGATGACTCCTTTACTGTCTGTTGTCATTCATTCTTCCTACATTACTGGCTCATCCTATTTTAGGCCATACAAGATATTTCTGTCCTATTTAGACGGATCAACAATGTTGACATGCTACAGCCTTTGTGTTCTCCTTGTGTCTTTAAAGTGCCCTTGGGTTACTTGTAATTCTTCTAAAATTGCAGTGTTCTCATTCATAACTAGATAGGATCACTAGAAAAATATTGGTGTTGAACAGATTAGTGAGGCAGTAAGCAGTTTGACCAAGATAACTGAAAAAAAACTTCATAGAATCTCTAAAATCTCATGTGTTGGATCTTCTCCTAATCAATTCTATGTCTAGCTCATTGCCTATCTGCATCACTTATCCAAGATAGTGACGTATTTCACTGACTGTCCAAATGCCCATCAACTACAAAAAGCTGGTGGATAGGGTGCTGGGCCTGGAGTCAGGAAGCCCTGCGTTCAAATTCAGCCTCAGACACTTGAGTTATGTGACCCTAGTCACTCAACCTGTTTGCCTGTTTCCTGAACTGCAAAATGGAGATAACAATACGTCCCCTTACAGGGATGTTGTGAGGATCAAATGAGATATTTATAAAAAGGGCATAGTAGGTACTCTGTGTTTTATTCCCTGCCCCCTTCCCTGTCACCGTCTTGGCAACAGGCATTTTTCATCCATTTTGTTTCTCCACTGTGGATGGTGAGACCAATCTTTCTGTACTTCTGCGGATTTCACTGAGACGATCTGGTAGTGCTCCAGTGCTGGCTATGATTAGCACAGTTGATCCTACAAAGTAGCTTTTGTTAAATCTTGCCAACAATAATAAGTCTTTTTTCAAATACACCTACTTTTCAACAAACGTGTTGAAATATTTTTTTAAATGTACTCTGGCTTCATATTATGGACAACAAAGCGGAGGGGAGGATAGAAAATAACAGAGTAAAAGAAAGGGAGCAAGGGTTTTGTTTAAGATCCACGGATGAAGGGTCTTAGAGAGGCAAGAGGTTCATCAGGCTGATCATTCATTCATTGTAGCTCACCTGGGCTGCGACATGATTAACCATTATCACAGTTGTTCAATCTCATGGAGACAAGAAAGCTCAGGGTATGTCGGAAAACAGAACAGTTGTTTCATTGGAAGGTCGAAACCATGAAAGAGAGTATCACAAGGAAAACTATGTAAAGTGACAGCAGATTGCAGAGGACCATGAGGGCCAAGCACAGGAGCTGACACTTGACTTGGCAGGCCAAGCATCTGTCACTGCGGATTTTTGGGCAGAGGCAGCTATACCTCTATCTATCTATAGTATGGATTGGAGGGATGATGATCAAAATATTACATATTAGCAGTGGGGAGAGACAACAGACAGGAGAGAATCTGCAAAAGCTGAATAGCCTCAGAGGTCATCTAGTACAAGCCCGTCATTTTATGGATAAGGAAACTGAGGCCTAAGGAGGTTCGGTGGACAGAGTTACAAAGTAGCCGGCATCAGAGGTAGAGAATTTGAACCCAGATCTCCTGATTGCAGAACCAGTACTGTTAATTGACTTAATTTTAGGGGGGTCGAACGCTAAAAATTGGGGGAAATCAGAAAAGGTCTCTGTGTAGAAGATGGTGGTACTTGAAAGACATGAAGAAGGCTAAGGATTCCCAGAGGGCAATGAAAACCTGTGGAAAACCTATGCAACAGTATTGAAGCAAGAGACAGAAGGCTTACTTTGGGGAATACCAGAGACCAATCTGGACCACCAAATGTGTGAACAATGTGAAATAAGGCTATAAAAACATATCGAGAACAAGTCATGAAGGGCTTTAAATGACAAAACAGATTTCATTTTATCCTGTAGATACAGGGACGACACACTGAAGCTTGGTGAGCAAAGGACTGACATGGTTTACTTATATATATGGCAGGTTACCCAGAAACAATGGTAGACAGGCCAGTCTGATGTATAGACCTTGAAAGGCATGTACTGGGTCTCTATGGGACCTTGCACAGTTTACCACCTGATTGCAATGGGATGGTTCCTTTGGGGAAGAATGAGAACCTGTGTTCTCCTCCCTCCTCCGATTTCACTCCTTCTCCCTCTTTCTACTCTATACCAATCACGGGAAAGGCTGGATTTAACAGGATGTTATATTCAATGTGCCAGTGTGCTAACTGGATTGTACAAGGAAGCTTTAACAAAATGCTGTCACATAAAAGCATACCAAAATGCTTCAATGGTAAATCCTAAAAGCTACGTGGCCACTTCACATCTCCAGCTGGAACAGATACTCTAGCTAATGGTAGATAATTGCTGCTGTGCCAGTTAAACAAATATCACCATAATCAATACTCTAACTAGTAGAAATATAATTCTGAAATGGTCTTATTTTAAAGGTATTTTTGATTCCATGCCCCCAAATGATATATATGTGTGTATATAAAAATTTCTATGTATGTATATACAACATATATATAATACACATACATACATACATATAATGTATAAAAATTGTCCTTTTAAATAACTGACCCATGGTTTAAAACCCAAGTAAATAATTTCTATGGTACTCAGTAATAAACACTGTAAAAACTCAGTTTCATAAGAATAACTTTTTCACATTTATTGCCCAGATATATTTAAAAAGTCCACTCCTTTAATGTAATATGGCAATAGCCCTAATACATCCGTAAATATAATATTACTAAAAAAGGTTTAAATTGGCATGTAAAATACTATGATTATGGATGCATGAAATTATTTTAAAGCATCTTAACATAATCATGTATAACTATGTACAAAATATACATAAATCTCAATTTAAAACATATGAAAGAGGCAATTTCAAATCACACAAGACGTAATAAATATAGAGCTTGCTTTGTTAAAAATCTACATTGTACATTCAAGTAAAGGCAAAACTTCCAATGCCAGTTACACTTGAGACAAAATTAAACATTTACAATAACTGGTATCCTAAAAGTGCTACTTTTTATATCTATAAAAACAAACGTTCTTTCTAGTGCTTCAATTTCCATTTGAAATGTCCCTACATTCCTTTATTCACAGAACCAGAAGCTTCTGTTACTAAAAATCCAAAGCTTTTGTATCTTTTTCAATAGACAACATTTCACTTCTTTGGGGAATAGAGGATAAAGAAGTCAGAACACACAACTCAGAAGACTTTCCTTAAAATCATGGAATATAATCAAGTTTATCCCACTTTGCATCTTAGACAAGAGAATTTAGGAACACATTAACTTAACTAAGCCCATTCCACACAGTATGCCTATGGTAAGCCATCTCCATGCTCTATGGACCAATCTGTACAGGCCAAAGATCGCGAACCAGAACAGCCTCCTTCCTGCGAGTCTGATCTCGATGCCACGCTCCATTTCTGAGCTGGACATTCCCTTCCAACCTGATTTGGTTTAGTGTCTTCTACAGCTACGTTCAGTACACTGCTTGAACTGTTGGGAAAAAAAAAAGTCAGTATTACTATGTTTTATTTATATTTGTACTTCAATCCCAAGATGTTTTAAAAATCCCATATTATCTCACAGGCAGAGTTTCAAAATTATAGGCTAATTGGAGAGGCAGAGGAAGGAGTACTTCCAATTATTTCATTGCAGTACCTGAATACTTCCTGTACTCCCTGATTTCCTGGCCCTGAAAAAACACCACAATAAATAGGAGTCAATTCTAGGGGCGAGTTGTCCATCTGAAGACCAGGGCTCTTCAAAGAGACTAGGGGCCCCTGTAGGGTCTACTACCAGTGTTCCATTCCTTTCATGTCTTCCCCACACATAACCACGTCATTTCTCCAGATCATCACTTAAGGCGGAGAGCACAATTTCAATAATATAGTCTAAGATGTGTTCATTTAAAGTGGTATCTACTATTGCCACTAAGAAATACATGAAAGCTATTTATTTCTTTTTTCAAACTAAAGGTACTGACCCACTCTGATACTTTATCAACTAAACACCCGACAACATCCTTTTTCAATAGAAATTGTTTTTATTATAAAGCTAACTGCAACAGTCCAGAGCAGGCTTGATGAAGCTGCGGCCTTGAGGCCACATGTGGCCTTCTAGGTCCTCGGATGCAGTCTTTTGACTGAGTCCAAGTTTTCCAGAACAAATCCTTTTATTAAAGGGATTTGTTCTGTGAAGTTTGGATTCAGTCAGAGGGCTGCACTTGAGGACCTAGAGGGCCACATGTAGCCTTGAGGCTGTAGGTTCCCCACCCCTGGTCTAGAACATTTCTCTTAAGACTTAATTATGGCCTCCTACATGCTATCTGCACATGATGTAGGAGAAAGAATATTGTATTTGGTACTAGAAGATGTGGGTTCAAATTCAGACTCTGCTGCCACCAGGGTCTCTCCAGCATTCAACATCATCATGGTAAAATGAGCTTTGTGCATTGGATGTTCCTCAAGGTCCCTCTCCCTGTTCAATATTCTATGACATACTCCTCAAAGAGACTGTGGAAAGGCCTCAAATAAAAATCGTTGTCTTGAGTAATAAAAATCTGAATTGAAAAAAAAAAACCCATCTCTATTAATAACTCGAACTTCTTAATCTGCCAATATTATAACAAATACACAATTAGACCTCCCTGAGATATTGTCCTTGAACTCCATGCCACGAAGATACATAATAAATTAAATTACCTTAAGAATTTTTTAGGTCATTCAGTAATGGAATGCCCCCCACCCGAGCATTAAGACACCTCTTACTGAATTCTGCCTCTTAGCAAAGTTATATTAAGGTTGTAATATAGTTTCATTTTATAAACACATCTTTGACAATTAATCTTATTCTAAAACCACTTTTTACAGTTTTGTTCTAATTTCAAAGGCCCCTAAGTATGAAATAAGGTAATAATATCCACTTCAAACATTTTCATTATATTGGCCTTCAGACTAGCAGAAGAGGAAATGTTATTATCCCATTTTATGTGATATAAATTTACATTACTAATCAAACTCAAAGATAACTTTTGAAAGAGGATAATTAAGCCAACCATGTTGTTTTGTTGTAATAAAGTTCAAATTTTCCACTCAAAAGAAAATCCCTAATTCTTATAGGTTTAAATAAAAGCGTACTTAACAACTAATGCAACACAATTCTTACTGGTTATTCCTAGCAGGAGGCTTTTTAAAAGAGTTCCATAAGTATATTCTCTGGAACCCTATTATTTTCGTTTTGACTGATAATTAGTTACTTTTTCACTTACTTTAAAATCTTGTCTTGGATTTAGTTAAGACCAAAGAAATATTAAAAGACATTGTTAAGCTTGCTACTGTTGTCTTCCTTAAATTATTTATTTCAGTTCTGATGAATGATAGACTAAAAACCTCATGCTTTTGCTAACATTATCAATGATTCTGCAAGCATTTTTTCCTTTGATACTTTTCTCTGTAACAGTATTCTTATGCTCCTTTAAATTCTCAGCCTTCTTTTGAAATCATCTCCAAATTAATACCGAGGGCTAGTCTTGTTTTCCCTCAGATTGACACTTTAGCCAACCAATCCCATCACTACTTGGGGGAAGGAGAACGCTTTCTCCGCATCTCTGTTGCTCGGTGCTTGCTTGCTCTCATTCTCTCTCCTCAATTTCCCCACTATTTTCAGCCAGAATGCTCCACAGAGTCTCCCAGGTTCAGCTATTGGCTGCTTCTACCCTAGACTCATTTCTTTTCTGGGGCTCAGGACACACTGATCAGCTCCCACCCTACTGTTAACTGCTTCTACCAGTACTTGTGTCTGCTACAATTCGCTATTTTCCTTTTTGTTTGCTCATTCTTTCCCTCTATCACACATCAGGCATTTTCTTAACAGTCCATTGTGGAAAAGTCCAACCCAAAGTGTAGCAGTATATGAATCCAAAGGAGAACAAACAGAATGAAAATCTTAAGGGGAAAAGGATGGAGAAGGTGAATTCTAACACGCATCAACAGACGCCTCCGAGGCAGTGAGGCTATTCCCCACGTCACTATCCTCGGATGGACTCCTCTTTACCACTCTCATTTAGTACACTGATACGTGTTCCTTGTTTTCCTATTTAAAACGGTACGTTTAAAGAAATTTTAAAAATAGACATACAACATTATCCCTCTAAACAAGTTTCTAATTATCAGGAATGGGTTGGTAGTTGAAGTACTTTTTAAAAAGCTAAGTAATTCCTGTCATTCATTCTAAATCTTCGCATTTTAAAAGGATATTAAGTAACTGAACTAACATTATAATGTCTGTATGTAATGCCTATATTTGGTGATACACTAAATTACTTTCTATGGACAATGGAAAGCTCTTCCATGGACAAAGCCTTTGATAGAGCAGCTTTTGTCTCAGCAATGCAAGTGTCTAGCACTTTTCAGAAGTATATGAAAATAATGTCACCTATAGACTAATACCTATTTTCTGACATATGGCGAATTGTCTGGAAAAGCTCTGAAGCAGAAGGGGAAACAGGCAGAGATTTAGTGAGTTTAGATGCGCGTACTGAAGACCCGCTAGACACAGAACAAGATTTTTGTCCAGGCTTGGAGTGCAGTGTTAGATTGTCCTGATCAGAACCTGAAAAAGAAAAAGAGTAAAAATGTTGATTTCTTGAGAGATTCTGAACTATGAGAGAGTAATCATGTGAAATGGCCTAGGGCAAGAGTGGGGAACCCGCAGACTCAAGGCCACATGTGTCCTTCTAGGTCCTTGGGTGCAACCTTTTGACTGAGTTCAAGTTTTACAGAACAAATCCTTTTATTTTTTAAAAAAAAAAACTTTAAAAACATGTTTTATTTATTTCATTAACTATTTCCCATTACATTTTTTAAAAAAAATTAACATTCACTATTTTTTCTTTTTCTTTTCTTTTATTAAATTTATTTTTAGTTTTTAACATTCACTTCTATAAGATTCTGAGTTCTAAATTTTCTCCTACTCCCTCCCCAAGATGGTGTGCAATCTGATATGTATATCTGTATATGAATGTATATGATCATATACATTCATATTAAACATATTTCCACATCAGTCATGTTGTAAATAAGAATTAGAAGCGAAGGGAAAAACCATGAGAAAACAAATCCTTTTATTAAGGGAATTTGTTCTGTGAAGTTTGGATTCAGTCAAAGGGCTGTACTTGAGGACCTAGGAGGTCACATTTGGTGGCCTCGAGGCCACAGGTTCCCCACCCCTGGCCTACTGATAGACTTGAGACCAATGAAGTGAGTTTTTGAGTATCCTTTTAGTCCTAGGATTCCAACTTCTGTTATTAAAATATAAACTTGAGAAGGGCCTTGGAATGAGGAACTCCACCAACACACTTGGCTGTGTGACTCTGGGCAATCCACTTAACTAACCTTTCAGTGACTCAATTAATTTTAACCTACAAGTAATTTGACATAAAGATCAGTCATTGAATTGTGATGATGAAGGGAACTTCCATGTAGGAAATTGCTCCCTGACCTGGTAAAATCACAGAGCTTGCCAAAAATTGCGTTAAGACTTGAGCTATTCTGAACTTATTTCAAAAGGATCTGTAATTTTGTCTATAAATTTATCTGTGTGGATACTCCTTCCCCATTGATAACCCTTCTCTGGAATTCAGTAAATAGTCAATAGGAGTTGTTTTACCCAAAAAATTCATCGCCTGATATGGCCAACCTTGCAATGAAACTCTCTGAACTCAGCCAAGATGGTGCTCCGACAGCAGTCATCATACCTGTCACTGCAACTGTAAGCTGAGAAGGATTTGCCACATCTTGTGCTCCACTAGCAGGGCCTCCTATACCCTGCTCACTTTCAGACTGAAATGAGGAATCAAAGGAGGAGCTCAGTAGGATTCCTCAGAATATTTACATACCACAACTGACTTGAAGGTTTTGAAATGTTTAGTTACCATTACTGACACACTCATGTTCAGTCTGATTATAAGAAACACAAAAATCCAAACTGATTTTGAAAAACATAATTGCTTGCATTAATAAACATGCATCCAAATGAAATATCCTCAAGTTATTTGCAAACTACTTACTTCCTGAAAAGGCACTTTGAGGTTTCCCATTTTCTGAGTTCTTACTGTCAAAAGAAGTCATATTTAAGAACTGTTGCTTTAGCCAACCAGCTCGGTCTTCTTCAAAGGCCTTCCTCTATGAAAGGATAGACACAATCACATAAAAATGTAACAAATGCCTCTACACATGTCACCATTTTATTTATTTCCTGGAACATTCTTGGAAACATCAGCTAAAGTGAGTTTCCTGGAAATCTAAGCAAAATCTATTAGCTCATTTAACAGAGCTAGACTTTAAATTTACCATAGGCAAAATTTACCCTCTAATATGTTCAATTATGAATGTTCTCTGAATTAAGCAGTTTCAAAATACAAGGCAGAAGGGGCAGTTAGGTAGCATAGTGGATAGAAGTCCTGGATAGACCTTGGAGTCAGGAGGACCTGAGTTTAAATTTGACCTTAGACATTTTACACTTACTAGCTGTGTAACCATGGGCAAGTCACTTAACCCTGATTGCCTCACCAAAAAGAAAAAAAATAAGACAGTGGGGTATAATTTATAAATAATATAAAATGTTAAGAATCTAAAGTTTCGTTTCAAGTGACAGCAGAATACATTGACAGATACTATGTTTTTGTACATTAAGTCAGTTATCAATGGGAGGTAGTATCTTGTATTGAGAAAAGTATTAGACTAGTTCAAAGACAAAGGTTTGAGTCTTCAGTCAGTCACTTACTCACTGTGTGATCTTAATCATTACAATCATACCAAGACCAAATTTAGTTTCTATATCTGTAAAATGAAGACGATAATCTGTCCTTTCTCTATCACAGGGTGTTGTAAGGATCAAGCAATAATATAAGGGGAAATGTTTTTTTTTTAAATGTAAAGCATGACTCTGATCAATACAATGATCCAAGATAACTCCAAAGGACCCATGATTAAAAATACTATCCACCTCCAGAGAGAGAACTGATGAATGCTGAGTACAAAATGAAACATATTATTTTTTACTTTATTTTTCTTTCCTTTTTGGGAGGTGGCGTGTGACATGGCTAATATGGAAATATGTTTTCTAAGATTTCATATGTATAATGGACATTGTATCACTTGCCTTCTCAAGGGGTGGGGGAGGGAGAGAATGTGGAACTCAAAAATTTTTTAAATGAATGCTAAAAATTAATTAGAAAAAATAAATGTAAAGCATTTGCCAATGTTAAATATTACATTAAACTGTCCCTTTAAGATAATTAGAACATACTGAGGACTAAAAACTGACAAACTTTCATTCCAGCTACAAAGGACAAGAGCCAAAGAAGTGGTTACAGGTCGTTTCTAAGGCTTCTAAGCAGTTATGACTGAGTTCCAGAAACACTCTTCCCATATACCCTAAAATAACCTCACAGAGCAGAAGATGGTAGAAAAACATAAAACAGATAAATCTTGTATTCCTTCCAGGAGAGAGCAGAAATACTGTCATCAAATAAGGTGGTCAAATAGAAAGTAGTTTGTCCTATGCCACTCTTTGTGGACACCACCTCTTGATACAACATATATTTCTAACAAAAGACAATTGATAGTGCTCAGCACAGAGCTTCAGTTTAAAGTCAGAGTGTCAACCACTAAAAAGAGGCCAGGCAGGATAGAACATTACTGCCACAAGGGAAGGCTGAAGCTGATGGATCTTTTGAGCAGTGGGGTTCTGAACCACAATAGGGCCAAAGCTGATGCAGGGCCTGTAACCAAGTCTAGCACCAATATGGGGAGTCCCCAGGAGTAGAGAGACACCAGGCAGCCTAAGGATGGGCAAACTGACCCAGGTCAGAAACATGGAGCAGGTTAAAACTTCTTTGCCAAATGGTATTTGGATCAGGCCCATGAGTGGCCACTGTACATCTACCCTCGGTGAGACAGGGAAACTTGTTCTAAAAAATGTCTGAAGAAAAGTTTCCAAAAGATCCAGTGCACAGTTTATTAAATATGAACTAAACAATAAAAACAAAAATCCATGCTAATCCAAGAATATTCTAATTTGGTTCTAAAGAGTCTGAGCATAGACCATCTGATTCAAACTAAGTGAACAAACAGAAAATGTAGGAAATGGTCCATATTTTTTCAAAGCATGCTAATAATCATATTAAATGTTTTGATGCTGACTCTTTCAAATATGACCATCCCAGCTCTGAATCTATGATAAGAATGAAACTTGCCAGAAACCCAGTCATTTAAATACCTCTAGTCCTAGTCGGATTGCAGCTTCTGTAAAACTCCGTCTTTCTTTCTCAAAGTTCTTTTTTTGTTCTTTAAATAAGGCCCATTCTTCTTCAAGACGTTCTTTTTCTTCCAATAAATAACAGTCTTGTAATAATGAGGAGGTGTCATCATCACATGTAGCGGTGAACTGCTGCTGCAAGTTAAAAGACAGCCTAAGTTCTAAGATGATCACCTCACAGGCTGAGGTCCTTGCAGTAACCCTCCCTTCCAAGTTAATTTGGAAAAGCCCAATGCAAGCAATTCGATGTTTTAAGTACTATTAAAGGAAAAGAACACCATCTTCAGGGATTCCAGGGCACAGTAGTTAAACTAGGTAACTGATATTTACCTGTAAAAGTTGTTGCTGAGTCTGGATCATTTCTTTGCACTGCTGAATTTCCAACTCCAGTTTTTCAGTTTCTTGTTCATGATCCTGTCTTGAGATAACTTCTTCATCCTTAAAGCCTCCTAAGTGTACCTTTGATACTGTGATTCAAAAATACATTTAACATTGGTATAAAAGCCTATAAGGGTATCTAGGGTTCTCTCTTAGACATGTTCAAATAATAAGCATCTTAGGATTCTTGCCATTCAAGATTTTCATAGATTCTTATAAAATTTAACCATTTCTAAAGGAAGAGATCTTTGCTGTTCTAAATGTCAAAATCCACCATAAATCCTAACTTCAAGATCAAATGTCTTCAATATCACAACATACAAAACAAGTGGGTTCCACTGCAGCTATAGTTAGCATGTACCTTACTATGTTAGAAATTAAATAGTTTCTTCTGTATATAATATAGTTTTCTATAAATTGTACATCTAATATGTAACTTTTATATTCATTTATCCAAGCATTTATCTTAGCTAAAGAAAGATAATTTTCACTGCTGTGAATATTACAGCAAGATTATGTAATAAAATTCATGAATTATGTTTTGTTGCCACTTCTATTTCAAAGCAAATTACTTAACTTGGGACTTACTCCTTTATTACAGGCATCAGCACATGAAAATGTTATTTGAGACTTGTTCTCTGGTATTAAATGCAAGATTTATAAACTTTAAGCCTACTTGCAAAATCTAAGCACAATTTATTTATTGTTGATAATGGCTGAAATCAAAGTAATATATTTAAACACTTAGTTTTGGGAATAGAAATATAAGCATTATTTTACTAGTCATTCTTCCCTGCTAAAGACATTTGTCAGCACTGAGTTTATAGCTGAGCAATTTATGATGACTTTTTTCCGTAGAACAATAATTCGTTCAAGTAAATAGGCTTGCCCAAAACTGAAACTCTATGTAATTTCTGTTTCAAGTAAACATACAAAATATTAAAGAATATATTCTAGAAATCTACACTAAGAAATGTCTAAGGTGTAAGGAAAAATGGAAACATTATGTGAATTTATATTGTATTTTAAGTATTGCTTGATTTTAAAATGTTTAGAATAAAAACAAAATGACCTGATTCACTCCCATTGATAGACTATACTTATATTACAGGCACCCAAATCCGCTTTTCTCAAAGAAGACTTACTGTATATCCAAAGTACGTTTCTCCAGGCAAAACAATTCTAATATACTGCCTAAAAGCAGATGAAATTTTGTATTTCTAAGTACCATGCTTTAAATATTTGTTTCAGGACATATATTTGAATGTGACCCCATAACTTGTTTTCTAGGTATCTATTCAACAAACGTTAAAAAAGTATACATAAACATAATGCCACTATAACATCTGCAATAAATATTTGTATTCAAAGATGTTTCTGTAAAATTTATCAACACATTCATCTGAATACTTCTCTGGAAAGTGTTATTGTATTTGGTGTCACAAGGTAGCTAAAAATGGATAGAAGCCACAATCACCTTGGTTATCAAGTTTTTCAACATGACTTTTCAGAATTCTCCACTGTTTTCTAATGCTATTAGTAAGCTGCTCTCTCACAGTTTCACAGGAGAGTTCCCACATATTTTCTTTACTTAGTTCTGCAGTATCTTCTTCAACATCCGACAGGACCTTCACATAAATGGGAGAAATTATAGAAATGGAAAAATAAAAAATATAGAAAAAAATAGGAAAACTTAGGATACATCAACATTGTAAGTCACTAATTCAGACTGATGAAACATTTCAGGTTTTTCTCTGTCATCTTTACATGGGATTTTGTAAATTAATTTTCTCCTGTTAATCATTAAAAAAATTGCTGAAACTTCAAAGCATATTTTCTATGCATAAAACTTTTGCCACAAAGTCATGAGCCCCATTTCTCTTCCTAACAGTCCTGCTGACAAGTATAGTGAGTTCTATCTTAACACCTCAACAGAGTATCGAGGTGACCCTGGCAATTCAAAAGCTGCAGTGCTGGAGGAATGCGAGTCCTATAGCAGGTCCTACAACAAACTGAAAAGGCCATAAGGATCCCTTCCGAACCCAAGTCTATGATCTTAAGGGATAGCCCAGTTATCTCTAGCTAAACTGGAGTCATTCATCACCAGGGTGACTACTGGAGGATGAATCTGTATATCCTGTGTCCTAAAAGACAGGTAAGGCCTGGTCTCAGGCAGAAGACGTGGTTTCAAGTCTTGACATATACCAACTGCGTGACTTATCAACAGGCAATCACAACCTCATAAAACTTATGTGAAAAACTAGGTTTATTACAAGAGAAATGAACGTGCATGTGAAACCCAAAGACCTCATAAATCATATAGAAATTTTCATTTTTTTAACAGCAGGACAAAAGAAGAAGGAGGTAACAGAAATCTCCACCCAAAGGTGCATGGCATGGGAGGGGGAAAGGGACATAAAGGTTGGAAAAGGATAAAACCCTTCCTGAACAGGAGGAGCAAGGCAATGGCAAAAGCTACATTTTCTTCCCTTGGGAACTGCTAGGGCCCAGACTGGATGGTCTACTTATCTACAGGGTCCTAGCTGCAGTTTTGCAGCCTAGCACAGAATGACTGGCGCCTGTCTTGACTCCCAAGGACAGACAGGGACTCCAGCTTGGTGTGCAAAGAACAAATTACGTCAGCTCAGGGGGTTGGCAGGGTTTCGTCCTTGACACATTTAAGGCCTTCTGCATGCTCTGGGTCCAGTGTTTCTGGAAAATATGGCAACCCAACAAAACAAGTTCAGGGGACCCTTTAACAGTCCTTAACAGACTCCAGAAGAGTTCCAGAAGCTCTCAGTGCTCTAGGGAGCTCTCTCAGACTTCAAGTAGAAGAGAGGCTGCTGACCTGAATTAGTGGGTGGAGTCACAGTCAAATTCAAAGAGAGCAATATTCCAAGGTCTGAGGGCATCTCAATCTGCAGGGATGGAGGGCCGGAGGTCCCAATACTAACTGAACTACAGACCTCAAAGTGCTGTGGAATGGTATACTACCAGGGGATTTGCTTTTTGGCCCTCCTTCTAATTAGTTAGCTAGATAACAATCAGGGGCAAGGCACTTCATGTCCCTCAGACCCAGCTACCCTCTCTACAAAATGACTAAGTGGCTATGAGATCCCTTCTAGCTCTGAAGTTCTATATACTATATATACCTCACAGCAAAGAAAGTAATGAATAATGAATTTCTTAACTCTTTCTATTTCTCTGGTAGAAATCAGATTTAATCAAACCAGTGTTCATCCAAATACAGTTCTCCTTAACTGCAGGAGGGAAAAAAAATCCATGAAGTTGTTTATGAAACAAAATATACACATTAGCCCTACTTTCCAACTGACTTCCACTTTATAACTAGAGATGCATTTCTTTGGAAAATTCCTCAGCCAACACACCAAATCACATTTAATGATATTCTCTGCAATGTTAATAGTACTGAATCAAAGACAAACTAAACCCAAGCAGCTCAAAAAACACCAAAAACCAATACTATACATAAAGCCTGCCTGAATAAATAGGAGGAATATAAAATATTTCTAAGTGACCAACCAGGAATTTAATTTTATCCTCCTAAAAATGAGAAATGCAAAATCAATTTGCATTTTACTCAATGACATCAAATTTGTTTTCTGTTATATTATATTAAAATTTCATCTATCAAGTTTAAGGGAACTTTGTCCTCATCCCCCTCCACTGGTTTACCCATTCACAGTTAAACTTAAACTAAAAAAATTCATCCATATTAAATGGTGCTATATATCATGCTACTTTTTAAACTCAGAATCTCTAGGTTCTCCCTAGAAAAATTTTAAATGAGATGCTTTTCTTTGACATTTGCCAAATTTCACCTCAATACAAATTGATCAGCCATGTTCCAGAGCAAAAAGAGAAAGTGTTTTATTTGTGTCTTTGTATCTTTAGGGCCTACCCTAGCACAGTGGCTAAAACACTGTGAGAATTTATTTAATGTTGGCTGAATTGAAACAAATCATTGGTTTCAGGCTGCACTTTCTACAGATTACTTAATTATGCATATAAACTGAGGGAAAAAGCCCTATATGGTTGTCCATCATGCAATTAGGATTAATACTTAAGCACGTTTAAAAGGATAAATTACAAAACCTTCAAGTTAGGTTTCAAGGAGGAAAGGAAGACAGGAAAAGAGTTCTACAAGAAAACTTGTGTATTATTGCTTTTCCAAAGTTAAATACTTAGACCCTAGAAAATATACAGTATGCTACCCACTTGCTAATTGATGATTTGTAGCTACTTTGCCTAGCTATCAATGGAAGACAGCTCCCTGGCCTAACATCTCCTAGACCTGCCTAAAAAGAGACAATGGCAACACTGCCAGTTAGGCAAAGCAGGAACTTTTGAGGGCACTTTACTGATACAGACCAAAGTGATTCTAAGGCATAAGGTTACTAGTGTTAGTAAAATTCCTGCTTGCTTTACAGCAATAGAAGTCTAAAAAGCAGCAAGATACAATCCCCAAATATACTTATAAAGTAAAAAAACTAAATAGCTAAAGAAAAATGAAAGTGAGTATGGTTCGATTTAGATCAGATATGTAAAACTACTTGGATACAGATTAGAATCAAAACATTAACTGTACTTTAAAAGTCAGTAGGAATCCCAGAAATGATCCAGGAGAGTTGTCTACATTGGTGTATTGGCCTTTAAAGAACAGACTTAGAAGATTCAGGACACTGCAACCCCTAAAACCATCAAGTTCTAGATTCAGACTCAGAGTAAGGGTCAATCCAAATAGACAAAGACTTGGATTCTGCAAATATGAATATTTATAGGAAGACCTGGGTTAAGAATAGTACCTATAATCTAAGACATCCTCCAAAGACCTCACGATCGAAAATGCTATCCACAAAGAAGAAAGAACTATGGAATTTGAATGCAGATCGAAGCATACTATTTGCTAATTTTCTTCTTCTGTTGTGTTTTGTTTCCTCTTTCTGGTGGTTCCTCCTATTGGTTCTAATTCTTACTTACAGCATCACTAATGTGAAAATATGTTTAATAGGAATGTGTATGTATAGCCTATATCAGATTGTGGGCTGTCCTGGGGAGGGAAGAGGGGAAGGAGGGGAGAAAAATTTGAAATTCAAAGCTTATGGAAGTGATTGTTGACAATTCAAAATAAATTAATTTTAAAAAAAGAATTTATAAAAATAAAAAAAAAGAATAGTACCTATACCCCAGTGGAAATACAATGGTAGAGCTACTAGCACTTCTGAATAAACTTTACTGAAAAGAGAGTCACAGTATGTGTCCTCTGGTAGCCAGATATACCTGGAGCTACATTATTTGGAAACAAAAATAACCTTATGCAATCTTATGTATTAATGTCAAGGACTTGTGATTTCATTACTGTGAAAACTCCCTCCTCCTCTGATATAGATTGCAGCCCCCTAATTTACAGCCTCGAAGAGTTGCCTGAGACTCAGAAGCTAAATGTCTTGTCTATGGTCATTTAGAGAATAAATAACAGGCAGAATCTGAACGTTGGTACTGACTCCAAGTCCAGCACTCTATCAACTATACTCCACTGCCTCTCTTTTTTCTGAGCTTTTATTTTATAAACTGTTACTAATAGTCATAAATTAATGATTATATATGGCCCATTAAAGTTTACAAAGTACTTTTCACACTTCTCTGTGATATATTTGGATACAACTGTTACCCTCATTTCTCAGATACGGAAACGGAGGTTCTGAGAGGTTGTGACTTGGCTACGTAAATACTTGAGGCAAGATTCGAATCTAGGTATGACTGTCAGTCCAGTGTTTTCTCCAGCAAACCACTGCTGCCTCTCTACAGATACACAGAATAACCCTACTGGCCAGTAAGTGATTAGTCTCTATCCTTTTTGGACACAACTACTCAAGTTTTAAATTAAGCAATTCTTTTCACCAAACCATCTACCTCTAACAGCATGCACCTCGCTTACAGGCTAGGTACTTAATCTTACCAGAAGGCTTTTCATATCAAATTATTATAATTAAGAAAAATTAATAACTCCTCTAAATACCTTCAGAGAGAAACTGACAAACAAATTCTACATTCTATTAGACAGCATGAGGGCCATGTACAATTATGTACATTAAGGGCCATAGAGAGATCTGGTACCAAGATCTCAGCAAAGTCACTATATCAAAATAATGCCATGTACAATTAGAAAAAGAATATGCTTTAATGGAAAAATCTATAAACTGTTAATTTGAGCTTGAGTTCCAAGTAAGCTATAAATTTGGTGTTATACCTTAGGCAAGTCCCTTAACCAAACTAGGTCTAAGGGCTAAATAATATGATCTCTACAGGTATCCTTTTATCTCTAAAATTCTAGGCTCTTATGAGCCATTTACTTGGCCTTTAAAGTAGGTGGTATCTAAGGATATTTTAAATGGTAGCGGTAATATAAATATGCTTAGTAAAAAAAAAATCAATATTTGCCAGACATATTATTAAAATTGAAGCAAGAAAATTACAAGAAACACTTCCATATGATATAAAAACCTGATCTGAAATACAAGCAAATAGATGAGTTAAGAATTCTTGTTCCCACCAACACCTGGTTCCTCACTCCGGCACTGACCACACAAGCTTCCCTTTATAGCAA